TAAATTAAAATAATTGAAAAAAAATAAATAAATGCCACCATCCATCTTCTTTAAATGTACTTACTAATTTTTTAAATTAAGTTTTTATTGACTTGCGGAAAACGCGGCTAAATATTATATTATTGCTTACGATATTACATTTTTATACTTAGAATTAAGATCACTATATAATTATATCTCATAAATTTAGACCTTAAAATCTACTAAAGCTATTATTCGATCTATTTTCTCCGGAGTTGCAGATGTTCATGGGCAACGGTGGCCACTTCCCATCAAGAAAGCCGTATGCTCGTTTGCCTACTCTTCCGTAAAAAAAAATTAGGCGAATGCATTTAAAAAATCTGTAATTGAAATAGAAGGAAACATTGTTACAAGAATACGCTGGTGTCCTTTTTCCTTGAAAGTTCTTTTGTCTGGAGAGGCAGATGTAATGGTGCTGTAAATTGTATTATTTTACGTCTGATTTATCAGGCTATTAAAAACTTTTAATATTACGTTTCTGCCATCTTTTGAGACGGCTCTGCATTAATTTTGAGCAATTTGTTCCCGGTGTGCAAGAGAATATCACTGTTTTATTCCTACCGTGAATAATTGTACCCTACTTGTTTTCATAAAATAAGGGTAACTAACGATCACACAGTCCACCTGCTAGTAAATGGATGCTGTGGCCCATAGAAATCCACATTAACCTCGATTAAGAATTAAAATGCGTATGCCTTGTCACCACTAACGACTAAGATGGAATGCCTCGTTTCAAGTAAAAAGGGTCTCTGGTTCTCTACTTTCACCTTACTACATCACGCTGGTATTCTGTGAGAGCGTGGTCCTATCACAGTCGAGCCGACCCATTCGTGCTACAACTATAATCAAACATAGTCTAGCTGCAACGTGGCTCTACAACATGTGCTTTAGTGCACGTCTGGTAAGTCATGGATTTCTATAGCGTCTTATACTTCTGAACCACCACAATTCGTCATATTTGTGTGTGTGGGAGGGGATGTAGTATTAGGAAATTAGATGTAATAAATGATAATGCTTTATTTTATTTCATGATATTTGTAATTATATAGAAATTTCATTTATTTACTTTAGTTTACATCACTGATTTACATGCATGCAGTGTGTGTGAAGGAACCGTATTACGGCGGTGTAAAAATATCCACTACCCCTTATCGTCCCGTGTCTTAATAGTTGATAAGGGGAAATTAAAACGGAAGATGGGTAGCAACATTTTTTTATTAACTGGCTTTACGGCTCTCAGTTCTTTCGGTATCTTCATTTTTATATTTTTTTTCACAATATGCTGATGCGTCACATCGTCAGAAGTTTTTGGGAGATTTTGACGACAGCTCAACCCAGCGGACAGTTGATGACGACAGTCACTTAAGTTCATAATATATTCATATATCAACATCAAAGTACTTGTTTCGTCGTTTTCTCTAACAGTTCACACGCTCGGATACTTAATTCACAAAATGGCATCACTTTTACGAATTAAAATCTACTTCAAACCACTATTCAAGCGACAATCCGTCAACGGCCAAATTCCCGCCAAAATTCTAGGAATTAATATTTTCCTGATAACAACCCTAAATGATAATAAAAAACTGGCAAATGGCAACAATGGCAAAATCCTCTCAATGAGACCATTTATGGGTAATTATATGTTCAGCAGTGAACTTTTAGAGGCTGTAATGAAAAATTCAGACTGTGTGGGATAACGTTAAGAGTGAGAGTGAACGGTCAAATCAAGGTTGCTTGCGTACTATGAAATTCACGACAATCGCTTAACCCCTGAGCGACTACAGCTTAATTTCGTTTTGTTCATGGAAAATAATATTTTTCTTAAATATAATATTTGGCTCAACTTCCAACGTCAGACAGATAAATAAATAGGTCGAGTCAACTGCTCGTTTAATTTCTATTGCCAACATATTACAAATGTTACATTTGCAAATCATGGTAGCTTTGTACTGTATAAACCATTGCACTTTGAAAAATCAGTTTAAATAAACAGACAACAAAACTCCTATAACGTACACATAACACGAACGTTTAATATTGGGCCTAATGTGTAAAACTTCCAAGTAAGCGGTCGTTGAAAATAAAGTCGAGCGAACGGTTTCTCCCGCGGTTAAGCCCCGCGCGCCCCACTATCGCCTCAATTAAAACCTGATTAACCTTTGCTCGCCCTTCTCAACACGAGTTCGCAAATTTTACTGGTTCTAACAGCTCTATAGTTGCAAACGATGTAAATTTCTTGTTGTTTGTAATCCGGACTGATTAAAATAATCCGGTGACGTCACGATACTTAGCATTCATGCAGTGTGGGTGTACCGCAAGTTCGTTCTCAGCTTTTATTTTTTAAAACAGTAACTTCTGCCGGATGTAAGTCTACAAGTTACATTGATAAAAATGGTAAAACACGGAAGTAGTTGTGCAAGGATAATACATAAAATAATCGGTAATATAGTAATGGTTAATTATATGAGCACACGCGTCGCTGTTCGTTAGGTGGATCATGGATTGTCTTATAGGCTTGGGTATGGTATTAAATTCGTATCAAATTGATATATTTTATAATGTATCATTCATTTTATAATGTATAGACAAAACATAAGCTAAAACCAACTAAAAAACCAATTAAGTGCTGTCCTTTTTCGTCTTCAAAATGCGCTCTGAAATCAGCATGTAAATGCACAGTACTTCGTACAACTTCTATCGTGTTTAAGTATAGCTGATGGTTTAACTTCTTTTATTCCCTAGTATCAATATAGATGGAGTCCTTACCCATATCTACCGCCAAATGTTAGTGCAAGCACTGGTTTGGACAGCAAGTATGTTTATAGGCTGTAAGGCATTTCATCTCAGTCCTCAGAGATCCTCAGAGTAATATACATCTGTAGCTTTCTTTATTTGAATTTAATTGCAGATGCCTACGGACTGCAGTAGACATCAGGTGGACTGTAAGTTCTTTGGTATCTTCAATTAAAAATATTTAAAAAAAAGCATGCAATATGAAACTCAGCAGAACGGAATCAAAAAAATTACGCTTTGCAATGCAAAATAATACCTAATCTATAAATAAATACAGACTAATATTTGTTTTTATTTACTCGCACATAAAATGTATGTTTATTTTATAAGTTTTGTATTAGTGTATAAGTAGGTTAAGTGTAATAAAGGTCGATGTATCGAGGTGACATTCTTCTCGCTGTAGCTAAGACACGTTTAGCCCAACAGCGGTTTCGTAAGTCTAATAATAAATCTGACTTCTGTACCTGTCTCTAGCCCACTTTCCGTCTGTTACCTCAGATCTTCATGGAAGAGTAGTGTACATTTTAATTTTAATCGAAATTCAAATGTCTTCTGAGATAATTTTCAGATTTTTCAAAGTTCAATTGATTCAAATATTTCGTGGGAACAGTTCATTACTTATAAATATATAATTACACAAGAATTATGTCCCAATTAAAAATTAAAAAGTGAAAACTTTTTTAGAAGAAGAGAAAAGGGAATGGCTTAATAATATATTTCTGTATGTATTTGTTTGTACTCTATGTATTTGTGTAATTTATAAGCTTTATTTTAATATGTGTTATATCCATTTCTGTTTACTATAATAAGTTATTTAAATCCCTTGCCACTAATTTTTGCACTACGCCATGGGTAACCTGGCAGAGAATGCTAACTGGCATTTAAGTCCATCATTTGTAACATTTATGTTTCGAGCAATAATTTTCTTTTATATAAATAAAATAAAATAAAAACTAGATTATGACGCTGAAAGTAGGGCTCGAATTGTAAAGTTTGATTTTGTAACAGAGTAACCGTAAAAACAAAATACTCGTAAATATCTTGTATTACTGTTTCAAAAATGTTAAACTTAGTTCGTTCGTTTATGGTTTAAAGTGAAGATAGCATCCTGACGTTTTGAAAAAGTAAAACGGTTAAGAACAATAAATATGTGTTAAATTTTCTGACGGAAAGAAAACAAAAATAATTTAAGGCTAGTTGAAACTAGAGGGGGATTTAAAGTCCAGCTTTAAGAAATTTTTAACCATTATTATTAAACCCTTTTAGCGGTGGGCGACTTGGGCGGTCACCCATTTTGTCAATTTCGATGGAACGCCACGAACGACACTTTTTTTTGAATTCTTGAGGTTTCAATTTCGTATGCTCCATTATCACTGTTACTGTGTGCTTCATTTTCACTATAACTGTCTCGTTAGTCTAGTGATTATAAAAGCGGTTGCCGATCATGAGGTCCCCGGTTCATATCCTGGGTCTGGCCAAAATTAGTTAATAATTTTTTTTCTGTAAATAAGCTCTGAGTAGCAGCCAGGAGTCAGAAAGTTGGCGATGTTCCACCTCCGTGCCTCGGAAAGCACGTAAAATATTTCCTGCGGCTGATCTCTCTTCGGTCGTGTCGGTTATCGTCCCATCGAACTATTAGAGTGAGGGAGTAGAGAGTCCAATTGTGCTTGCGCAGGCATTCGGGCCTCTCAGGAATGAGGGGGAGGCCTGTGCTCAAAAGTGAGACGTATATATAGGCTGTAACTTTAACTTTTTTATAAATTAGGGCACTATAATACTGTTCTGCGCATATGGCTAGTCTCCATAGAGACTGTAAGCCGTGACCAAAATTCGGTTCGAAGGTCATTATTATTATTATTACTGCTGTAGAAAAGGGTTCAGTACACAAAGAAGATACAGGCTATTCATTGGTTATTGCATTTATTTGCAACCAGCATTGTTGAATGTAGTTGCGTAGCTGCAGTTTCTACCAGCAATTGTTGTGCTTACCTTAGCGGGGCGTGCGACAGCACGCGCTGCGAGGCGGGCGCATGCGTGCGGCACCAATGCGCTGGCTCGTCTGTGTATGTGCTTACCTTAGCGGGGCGTGCGACGGCGCGTGCTGTGAGGCGTGCGCGTGCGCGTGTATGCGCGGGCGCGGGCGTGCGGCACCGCCGCGCTGGCTCGTCTGTGTATGTGCTTACCTTAGCGGGGCGTGGGACGGCGCGTGCTGCGAGGCGGGCGCGTGCGCGTGTGTGCGCGGGCGCGGGCGTGCGGCACCGCCGCGCTGACTCGTCTGTGACACACGTTGTTTCATTTATTACTTTGTTAATTTATTTAGAAAAAAAAAACTAAACAAAATAATAATTATAAGACCTTTTTATTTTAGAATGAATATCCATATGTGTTAGTAACCAAATATAAAATCCTGTAAATTACGGTAAGTAATGTTTTAATACTGACAGAATTGTCTCCTTACGGCAATTTACATTTATTTTGTCTAAGCAATTTACAACATTTTCTAGGCGTTACCATAAGCTTAATACTTTTTAAACAGGTATAGCCACACTGCAGTATGACTGTAGCACAAATAGGTCAGCTCGACCGGAGGAAGACCACGCTCGCACAGAACACCTACGTAAAGTAGTAGCAAAATGATTGTATGTTTCGTATGGTGATACTTCTTACTTTCGTACACTGCTATTCGGCGGCAGTTAAGAAAGTGGTACCTATCCAGAAGGACTTTTTAGGTAGAAAAGGAGTTCTTCCGGCTATGAAAACCTTCTTTGTTTGAAGTTGGTTACAAGCCTCCGTGGGCTGCCGAAGTTAGTCAACATCAAGTCGAACTTAGTTAGATTGTTATTCTATAAAATTATATTTTATAAAAAACAGGTACCTCGTGGTGGTGGCTCTGGGTCGGGAGTGAGCGCGCGACGCGGCAGCGCTAGCAGCTGGCGGTACAGCTCTAGCTCGTGATATGGCTCGGGCGAGGCGGGCGGGCCTGCGCCCCCCGCACCCAGCTCCGCCGTCAGCCCGTTCAGCACCAGCCGGGCGCGCATCGCATTGCACCGCGACCATCACCGCTCCCCGCACATTGTTCATAGGGAACTTCTCACCGGACACTACTCACTGCTCACCGCTCACCACTCAAGCTACTTCATTATGACGTCCGACTTACGTTAAGATGATACGGAAAAGTTTTAATTGTTTTGAAGTTAATTTGTAATAATATATTTTAACAAAATTACCCCTTATTAGTAGTGGCTATGTTATTTATTTTATATAAGAAACAAAATATTTTTAGTATATATATTAGCGCATTATATCTGGGATACGGCCTTAACCTAGTTCAGGTAAGTACCTGTTGTTGTAGTTTATTTTTAGACTAAGACATTGAACAAAACTATTTCTATGGATTTTTTCATGTTTACCTTACTTATTTTTATTTATTATTGATATTCGACATTTCGGTTGCTTTACAGCACCCATGTTTACGGGGAAGACATTGTTTAAATCAAATGTAATATTAATAGCAATAAAAAATAAATTCATACACATCCCCCAAAAAAGTTTTATCTGTAGAGCGACCAACTTTATGTAGTGTCAATTGCTACTTTTTTATTAATTATTCTGAGTTAGGTATTAATTTAGAATATCATAGAAGTTTTCAGAGTTGATAATTATATCGTATAAGGAGCAGTTGATTTTGTCTTTGTTTTTCGTTATTAGCGTCGTTAAAAAGGATCGGCGCATCGAGAAGAATTTGAAACGAATGTTTTAAATTTGTATCCCATTAAACTTCTTGCGAATCATATAGATTCCCCAGTGTAATAAAATTATTACACTGGGGAATTACAATCGCTATTGTAAGCCGATTAAATTGTGGGTAAAGTTTCGTGAAAATAAATTACTAATTGTATTAGCGGTGTTATCGACATAGCGCACGGATTATTGAACTGAAGTGACATTGGGCCGTCCGTATAGCTCGAAGAATTGACAACCGATGGGGAAGAAAGGTGCTCAAGTGGCAGCCCCGTACCGGACGGCGAAGTGTAAAGTGTCCCCCAACTAGATGGAGGATAATTGATAGAATCAGGCGTTACTTCGCGGAAATCCATTATAATAAATAATTTATTACTTTGCAATTGAGGGAGGGCGGGAGGTGCTCTTCAATCCAGGTAAGACACATCATTGTAATTGGTTAGCGGAAAGTTGCAAAAAAATAAATTATTTATTAGATGGAGGATGACCTGGTAAGACATGCAGGAAGTCGATGGACGCAGGTGGCTTAGGACCGTACGTTGTGGCATTCCTTGGGGTAGGCCTATGTTCAGCTGTGGACATGCGGAGGGCAAAAATTTTAAGCTGAATGATATTTAAAAAAAATTATAATATTTTATTTCGCTCATTATAATCTATAGTGGAAGTAGGGATGTTCACTTTTTTTTAATTTTTTAGAAGAGTGGGCGAGAAGAAGTGGGAGAGAAACGAGCATTCGGCTCACCTGATGGTAAGTGACTACCGCCGCCCCTGAACAACCGCAACACCAGGGGAATTGCAAGTGTGTTGCCGGCCTTTTTAGAAGGAGTAAGCTCTTTTCTTGAAAGTCCCTAAGTTTTATCACATTTTTACGAACTATTATATCAATAGATATTATAGTCTATTAAGCCTGACTATTATTCACAAAAATGGATAAGTTTAAGCAATTTGAAATTGTCTCACTGTATTTGCGGTTATTTTGTTTCTGCTAGTTGTAATTATATATAATGGGCTGTCCGCAACATCCGAGACATTGGCTATCTTACTCCTTAGCAGTTTTTGTCTGTTCTGCAGGATGTGTGCATAATATAATATTAATTTTTAGTTTTTAAATGCCGCTAGATTATATTTATTAGTTAAAAATTGAGTGTTGAAAATTGTAAATACCTATTTAATATAATATTTTGCCTATAGCACATACATATGATTATAAAGTTTTTTTTGCAATACGTTTTTTACTTTAAATTGTTTATCATATATTTAATATAAACACCAGCACCACGCTCGATGCTATAAGGCGAAAAATATTTTGCTAAACTTTTTTTGTTCGTGTGTTTGGCAAATCTGTTTTTATTCGTAACATTTTCTCATAATATTGTTATTCCGAATGAAATCCTTTGTACATAATGTTATTATGCTATCCTATTTTCATTTATTTTACCGAAATGTCGTAGAAGGAGAGAAATATTATTCAAGAATATAATGTATGTATGTATTTCTATTTTTGGCATCCTCTATAGCCTAAACAGCTTGATGAATTTTAACATAAAGTACCGTTAGATTTGTCTTAATTATGGGAGTGACATTTCTATCTTTTTACTAAAAAAATTACGAAGTCGGGTTTTATAATTACTGTTTTAACCATTAAGCTTGTAATTTTTATAGAATATATACAACCTTATAAAATTTAAATATAACAAAATTATATTTTTTTTCTTGTTTAATAGCATAATCCTATTGATACTAAAACATTTACAATTTTAAAAATTAAATGACATACTAAATCTTGATAAAAAATAAATGTTTGTTTCATTAGTGAAATAAGTGTTAATTTTTCTCATTTCCGATTTTTTTTTTCGCTAAATTTACTTATATTTTCTGCATCTCCTAAAAAACTTTATTTTTCCAAATACAAGATAGCAACCTAAACACTCGTAACACTCACACCGTGACAATCATCACCAAACCACTATTAAATACTCCAATACACGACTGCCCTCACATAACTTCACTTTCAAAAGTTTACGCCGGGATCGCGACCTAACTTTACAAAGGTCGGAAGCAACCAACCCTCTCGACGCACGGCGGTCCACTGACGCGATCTCTCGGTCTCGGAGCGATATCCAAGTCCGACGAGTTTGAAAGTGTCCAAAGTTCCAAAGTGTCCCTTAAATCAAATTTTCCAACAACTTCATATTTCAAGAGCATACTTTTTGGTGAGCTAACAACATAATCATTATTTAAATCTAAAAGCCAAACACAAAGTTAGCTTTGCTATCTTGTTATGCTTTACAACATAATATTTAGTTAAAGTCACTCTGCCACATTACGAGGCTATCATTATGTTTTATTTTTTAATTGGGTAGTGGGGCGGACAAGACATTTCTTTGCCCAAAAAAACCATCCCAGTAATGAGAGGATTCCTGTGCCCAGCTATGAGACGTATATATAGTCAACTTTACATTACCAACCTTTTATATTAGGAATTTGTTGCAATGGCTCATTTATTTGAAAATTCTAATTACATAATTCTTTAATTTGTAAGGACAAATAGATCAAATTTACAGTTCTTAATATAATTTCCGGTGTATTGGGTTAAACCATAAGTTTTCCTAACAATCGATTCCATAGTTTTTTGAACGCCTCCCCCCTGTTGTAAGAAGGATTTGCTTCTTGTTTTGCACCTTGACACTGATGCCCATCGCCATTCTGAGTATTTTATATCTGACGTAAACAGAATGGCAATAATGCTTAAATAAGAAGTTATTGGATTTTTCTGGCACTCCCCGTGGTTACGACACCCACGGGACAAAATGGTGGTCAAAAACAATGCATTGTCTGACACCGCCAGCGCACGATCACCTTCGCCTCATTCTCTCATTCATTACGGCATATCCAAGTCCTTTGATGAACATAGAACTCACCCATAGATTGTCACAAATATCGCTCATATTTGTCATAGTTTCAACTATTGGCGGGCTGATTGGTGATTGTAGTTTATTTTATAATTTTATGTTGATATCAGGAAGAAGCTGCTGCTGAAGAGCAATAGCGTTTTTTCAGTTTTCCTCTGTCTTTCGCCATTTATGATACTCACGTCAAGATATGGGTTAGTAAATTTTCTTAAGCTGCCACTACATGGCGGGCCTAGCCGTGGTTAATCCAGATATCATTTGATCATGTTAACATATTTTCATAGGAAATTGTACTATATTTAATAGAACCCCCCCCCCCCTCAAACCCCTCACATCCACAGGACGATATGGGGTAGTGAGTATTATTACACAGCCACTACAGGTTAATAATTTATTTTCTGGCTCCGACACAGCAACCACTTTTACTTTCGATCTTATTGAAGTAAGATATTGGTGGCAGGTAAGACTTAAGCTATGATCTTAAAACAAGTAAGTAAACATTTGATGTTCGTAATTACTATTATGTCCGATAATATCAACACAGACAACTTTCAATTTTCGAAAGATGATTGTCTGTAGGTCAGATACCGATCTCGACTTTTTGGAACAAAGAATTTAGCTATCATTCTCATCATCATTATTATCGACACAAATATTACGTAACCCGATTTGAATTTAATCGAATTTATCAAAGTTGAAAAAAAATATTTCGAAGACATGTGAAATTCGCCACCACGCATTGGGGCAACGCGGCGGACACTTCCTTGCCCTAAAACCCTCTCAGAAATGAGCGGAGGCCTGTGCCCAGCAGTGGAACGTATATAGGCTGCAACTTTACTTTTACTTTACTTTTATCAAAGTTGGTGGAGCAGCTTCCTTAAGCAACACAACTTACAAATGGAGTTAACCTTCAGTTAATTTCGTTAGGAACAAAAAGTTGAAATAGTCAGCGCACTTGTGCTTTAGTATACACTTGGGCACTATAATCCTCTCCTGTACAAGTGGTTAAACTGCATTGAAGTTGACCACCGTGAACGAAATCTGGTCTGAAGGGCATTATAATACAAATATCAAAAAGATGCATTGAATGAATTAAAGACAAAACTTGAATGGCTGTTAATTACTGCTACATCTAAATCGAAATTTCTAACAAATTTAATTCTAGATAATTCACTTTGTTATTACTTTGAATCCGGATACTAAATTTCGTATTACGTTTCGATATCAGCTGTTATAATAAGAATGGGCACAATGAGTGCAGAAATTAAGGAAATGTAACTTTTTCTAGTTTTTTGTGAAATATTTTAAAGCCCGCCTAAAGTATTAGTAGACTGTACATGCTAAGTATATACAAGATTATTAAAGCTGATGTTGTACTATATAAA